CTAACCAGCGATCCCGCGCTTACAAGACCTGAGCGCTACCTGCTCAGCCACACGGTCTCTTCGATTATCGTTTATCGCGAAGCGGTTAAGTCGTGCTGGAAAATCTTTCATAATTTTTTTTGGACGGATGCGTGAAAAGCGCGCGCTAAAACTTTAACACAATTTCTTTCTCATTAAGGACTATTCATAGAAAAATTACCGCTGAATCTGAGATGGGCACGTCTGGCCCTCCCCTTGTGAAACATTTTTTAATATCTCGCCTCGTTTCCGAGAAATACGCCCGCGTCACTATAAATGCCTCACCCTGTATATCTATGCTCCACGCATAGTTTGGAGACATCTGCAGGGTGCGTCAAAATTTTACAGGGACGCATACGCAAGACGCATACAAATGTTCAGATCTTTATTTTTAATTTACTTTCCAGGTGTCTTTTAAACGGATTGTCGTTCTAGAGATAATAGCTATTATTTTATATAAATTTTGATATACCGGATGTTCAAGAAATATTGATGTGGAGCTTTTGACATTGTTCTCTTATTACGACGTACGATTTTTACCTTATGTTTATATGTGTATACGCTTGTACGTGTTTTTAACATTGCTCTCTTTATTAGACGAGCAATTTTCTTCTTATATCATGTACGTATATGCATGTTTAAATGATCGACACATATAGTTCTTATATAGGGTATCTATTAAATACTCATATATAGTTTTCAAGTTACTTTTATGAAATTTATGATTGAATTTGCTCCGTTAGTATCCCTTTGAGTAAATCTAATTAAAATTTATTGTTTATTAAAATAAAAATGTGCGGCTGGGACGTCACAATATATTTCACAGATTCTTGTACACTTTCACTTAGTCGCGATTATAATAGTTGGGTGCGATCCGTACGGTATATCGATACTGTTGATATGAGCGAGCGAGTAGTGAGCGTCGGCGCATCTCGCGCTTATTATATATTTTAATCAATTAGGTCGTTGATTAGGGAGGAGTGTGGTGTCCCTGACCGGAGCATGTCTCGTGCTCCGCTCGTCAGCTGTCTCGTCAGCTGCTTACTCAGCTTCCGAGAACGTGACCGTGTCTTACTTTCATTTTATTAATACTCATTTATTCTTTCTTAATTACTTTTTCTCTTTCCC